AGTAAGATAAGAACATATTTGGATCGTGAATCTACTGAAGCAATTCATTCGTTTGTGACTACCAACTTGGATTGCTGTAATGCGATTCTATATGGACTACCTAAAGCTCTCTTAAACTGCCTACAGCTAGTTCAGAATAGAGCAGCGCGCATCGTAACATTCACCGAGAAGTATGAACATATAACACCCGGCTTAATAGACTTACATTGGTTGCCTGTTGAATACCGAATTATTTACAAAATCTTATTGTTAGTATATAAGGCTATCAATGGACTTTCACAAAGTTATAGATCCAATTTGCTCAGTTTTTGTAGCAGCTCCTACTCTTTGCGTTCTTACTCGAATAAGTTACTTCAAGTCCCGAGATCTAAACTTAAGTCTTACGGTGATCGAAGATTTTCTATTGCAGGACCTAAATTATGGAACAGCATACCCGCACTTTAAGGAAGACCGATTCCTTGAATTCTTTCAAAAAAAACTTAAAGACATTTATTTCACCAAGCTTTTTCTTAATTTATAAATAGATTTTTATTCATTTTTCATACTTATATATGTAGTTGTTAGATTTTTAGAGCTTTAATACATTTTTTGTAAAGCACCTAGAACAGTTAATGATATAGACGCTATATAAATAAAGTTTATTATTATTATTAAAAGTAGAGGAAGATTGGCGAGAGTAAACAGTCCGATCAGTAGGGTGGTGGAAGGCCGTGTGTGTATGTGTATGGGGGGGGGGAGGGGGGGCGGAGATCACGACTCCCTTCCCTCGCTGCTGTGACTCGTGCTTAAAGTCCACTACCGTTCGCGAATTGCCAGAAAACAGCTGCACTGCATGACAAGAACCAGTCTTTAACCATATATTGAAATGTGATCATCTGATCAATGTCAAGTCGCTAAGTGGAAAACGGCCTACAAAATATAATTGTCACAAAAAAGCGTCGGAAGTGCGAAATACGGCCTAAACTCACCGCACAAAAGAGCACACTGTCAAAGTAGTATTAGTAAAAAACAAACAAGAGCAAATTCAAAAATCATAAAGAAGCTGCTTATGAAGAGAATATAAGAAGCATTGCATGAATAGGCATAACCCAGCCTGACTGTCTCAAAATGGTATCTATAGTATTGCAATGAATATGAAATGAAATGCACGTATTATTTCACTATGACCTATATGATGATTTGAAAAAGACTCTTTTTATTAAAATCCACGAACGAAATACATTATTTACAAATTACAATAACCATGATAAATTCTGTTTTTTTTTTTTCAACAACACTGATTCACATATCAGCAGGCTACTGCTAATTTCGTTTTTCAAGCATTTACAATTGAAAAACGAAAGAAACGTAATAATAACACGATTAATTATACCATTCATCCATTATATTTTTGTTTCCTTAACTCTATCTGAAGGTGATTTGAACGGCGGAAACACAAATTTCAAATGAAGATAACATCGTCGCAGTGGTAATTCCAATTTAAGCGATTGCAAATTAACCCGAAAAAAATTTCCGGACTTCTATGGGATTCGAACCCATGGCCTCCGCGTTAGCGCTGCAGTGCTCTAACCAACTGAGCTATGAAGACTCATCCGTTTATTATAGTATTTCAATCGGTAACACCATGTATAGAAGTGATAATACTGAATAAACTTGTTGTTGTTGTATTGTGTTCGATTTACTCTTGATCTTCCACGACCGAGAACATTCACTGTATGTTCACTACGTTGAATGAAAATACTTACGTAATACATACTTTATTTATGCTCGAAATTTACAGAGTAGCTATTAATGTATTCGTAATGGTTATCCTTATTTAATTTGGTTCGTCTTGAATAAATTACAATTGGGCTCTTATCTGCACCACGACTTTAAAGTGGAGCTTTCTTTACTGCTGATCGAGGAGACAAGAAAAACGAAATCAGTTTCCTGCGGAAGTTTACATGATAACCCACGTGTCAGTCCATCTCGCAAATGTTGAACATCTACAACAATTTTTTTTTTTACGTTGTAGTCATCTTACTGACAGGCTATCTGAAGGGAAGGCAATAAAACTGAATAAATGGAAGACCTTAGATAACTATGACCTCAACCAGGCTGGCGTCCAGCGGTTTTTGTGAAAACAAGGGTTTGGGTGGGGGGTGCTCATTCTCGCGGGCTCATAAAACCTGGTGTCGGGAAATGTTATTAAAGGTAATGTTACACGGGTCGATTCGCAACGACGATTTTTAGCGCAACACAGCGTTGCAATGTTGGAACAATGTTGTAACCATTCGAAACAATGTAGCAACAATGTTGCAACGCTGTGTTGCGCTAAAAGTTGCCGTTGCGAATCGTCTCCTGTAACATCACTTTTAAGGATTTTCGTAATAAAATACCAAAGACGCTGAAACGGTTTCTGATTCTCAACTTCTAAGACTTCCGCATCACCACAGATTCAGGTTTACATATTATAGACGCGTCTGTAAGTGACTTCCTGCATCATGACATAATGCACGAATACAAACTCACTTTTAATTATCTGATCAATTTTGTGTGGTTTTTGCTAAAAACAAAATTATGATGTCATTGTCTTAATTTAAATACTGATATACACAGCATTACAGATCGAAACGTTTGGTGGATCAATTAAGGTTTCTGGGAAACTGCCCACCTACCCCTCCCCTAATCTAACATTAACACTTAGTTCTCACTTAGGGCAAAATGATGGCTTAGGGGAGGGGTAGGTGGGCAGTTTCCCAGAACCCTACATTGATCTCGTTTCAGTGGTTGGTGTTTTAAGGCTGCGTTGTTTGAGAATAATTGCGCAGCAGCCTTTGCTATTGTTCAGGAGCCATTTTGTGCTTTAACCGGAGTGTACTTCCATAATACTAGTGAAGTTTACACGAAAACATGGAAGAAATCATGTGCTATAGCCCCAGGGGGGGTACTCGGGATTTCAAGTGACGGGGATGATCGAATGGAGCCAAAAGTCAAGACTCAAAAAAAAACCCTAGGGCTTCCAGCAAAACCCAAAAAAATCCCTGGACCAAAAATTAACCCCCAAAAAATCCCATGCCGATTTTGCGGCCCTTTAAAGTTCCAGAAAGGGGTAATGCTATAACGCAAAGAAAAACATTGGAAATTGAACACTCGTGTTTGTTTATTCATCATACCATCTGAATATATCCTTTCCCTCATCTGGCAGTCATTTTAACAGCAAAATTTCACTAAAGCAAAAGGGAATTCCAGTGATGGTAAAGCCAATTGACTGAATTGAAGCGGTTGAAGTCTCGTACACGGCCGGGCACCACGGGACAATACAGACTATAACACGTGCGATGTAAAGCGACACCATAGTTAACTATTAAACAACAGCAAAACACGTTTGTTTGTACTTTATTCGCAGAACTATGCAGTCAGGGCACTACCGATTCTTTTTAATACCCCCAAAAAATCCCTACTCAAATTAAGCTACCCAAAAAAATACTTGCCAAATTTTCGTACCCAAAAAAATCCCGGAATCGAGAATTTCAAACCCAAAAAAATCCTTCGATCATCCCCGTCCCTTGAAATCCAGAGTACCCCCCTGGGGCTATAGCCTGCGTTGCAGCGGGCCCACTACAGAAGGTTTAGAGCGTCTCCGACGCAGGCAACATGTGCTACTGCACCTTCCATATTTTCAGTTCAGAGGCCACGAACAAAAAAAGCTCCACAACAAAAACTTTGAAAAAAAGAGATCAACAAAGTGACAGTTTTGCAAAACAGAGAAACGTATAAGTAATATGGTTCCACATTAAATCAAAAAAGGAAAACTAATAAAAGGACATTAGTTTTAGTATTTTTGTGATTAGTTCGCTAATTTCATTTCTCAAGGATTGGTTTTCCTGACTTTGCTGTTTAGTCTTCTCTCCGGTCATTGCGTTACTAGGAGTGGAGAAAATCTTAAATATTCAATAGTTCGCGGAGCTCTTATGAACGTGACCGCTCAGCTCAAGCTCACACGCATGAAATGATTCAGTGGGCAAATGCCATCCTCTTGCAAAACTTTAAATTTGGATACGTTTTGAAGCAATCTTAACTGGAATATCCATCCCTTCAGGACAAGAGACAGGATACAGGTACATTCCTCACAAGTGAGACCCGAGATAAATCGCTCTTTTTTCAGCATATATTAAAACATTAAATATGCAGTCTAAGACTTAGTCAGCAGATATAGTATAGTATTTATTCATCTTTTTCGGAATTACTAAAGAATTTATTTCGCTATCGTATGTTCTTGTCTTATAGTACTGGCAAGGCCGACAAAGGGCAAGAAATACCGCAGCATCGCAGAAAGGTTTTGAAATTGACGAGATTTTAAATGTTCGATCTATAAATGAATCCGCCACCACAATTCAATTGTCGACACGTAAATACATAAAACGAAGCACTAATCGTTTCGAGCAATAGTACAAGTTTAAAGAAAAGCGACTCACAAATATAACGCCGGAAATGTCGTTCGATTAACTAAGTGAGACACAAATTTTCTCAGCACCAACCAGTGAGTTAGGAACACTTCTTATAAGTAGTAATAATAAAATATAAAATAAAACAGCGGTATATAAAGATAAATCCTTTCTTTCTTTAGTTTCGTCCCGTTTCAAAAAGATAACATTTAGTATATTGCACCAAGACGGCGGGTTTTTCTTGCTTAGTCGTGCTTTCACGAAACGCTGACGTCTCTCACTGATGTCTTCCGCTTTCACGGAGAGACAGGTGCAAAGGAAGACGTCTTTATGCTTTCAAAAGCCATTTTCACCCACAGTGGCGAAAAAAATAGAAGCTTGACAGTTGTTTGTTTACCTTTAACAGCCTATCACTGGATGTTCTGTCAACAGGAAGTTATTACATAAATTAATAAAACCATTGCGGTGCGTTCTCTCCATATAAACAAATTCACACGGCCGCTCGTTAATCAAAAGTTCTTCAGGTTCTATCGCCCTTTACTCTGCATCACTGTAAACTTTTTGTTGGTGCGGCTGAAAGAGATGGAAGTCATACACATAGAGACAAGTCATAAAGAGTTGGAAGAAGAAGGATACAAGTGTCGAAGGGTTCGATGGTCAGTGGCTCTGGAAGAAGTACGCTATTTTGTACCCTTGCCGCAGCACACAGAAAGTCGCTGGAAGAAAAAAATGAAGAATTTGAAAGAAAAAGCTTTAGACCTCAAGCATAAGCCATCAATTTTATTTTGGGACTTGCATGATAGCGACACAGCTCATATAATTCAGAACGGACTGAAATCTTTGGCGAGAAAGATAAACTTTAAAGTTCCAGAAAGGGGTAATGCTATAACGCAAAGAAAAACATTGGAAATTGAACACTCGTGTTTGTTTATTCAT